TTTTTTCAACTGTAAATTTTATAAAATCTAAATTCACATCAAGTATTTCCGAATGACATTTCACAACTGAACTGAGATGAGCTTAGTGTAAAATATACAAAAAGAATTCGTATGAAAAAAGAATGTAAAATATCTATTTTTTACATTGATTACATATTAAAATAATGATATTTTTAATATACTGGGCTAAGTAAAGTATACTATTAATGTCATTTCACTTGTTTCTTTTTTATTGTGGACACTAGCAAATCTTAAACTGTATCTGTGGCTTGCATTCTATTTCTGTTGGACGGTGGTCTTCTAGAGATTCCTAAATATAATGTTTCATGGTAATTTCTAATAAACTTCTGCCTCAGGAAGCTGGGTAAGGATATCTGTTTATATAAATACAGAATATGTTTCTGTATATATGGCTGATGGATGGTCAGAAGGGGAAGCACATTTGGTAGTGGAGAATAAGCATGAATCATGGGGTCAAGTCTGTCTGAATTTGTATCCAAGCTCTGCCACTTAACAGGTAGGTGACCTTGAGCAAATTATTTACCTCTCTGAGTGCATAAATGTCCACATTTCCTCTTAGGTAAATTAGGAATATGAATACCTTAGAGGACACTGTCAAAGCTCCACCCAGATTCCCTGGGTCTTACTTTTTGTTTCTGAGCATGTACATACCCACTCCCTAACACCAGTGGGCACATATTTCATACCCCTGAATTCCCTGGGACCTCCAGCCCAAGTAGACTTTACCTAGAAATCACACCCTGACTCCCCCCAGCCCCTTCCACTTCCCATATCTAAGGGTCAGCTTCTGAGAACCAGCCTAAGATAGCTACTAACTTCCTATGTTTGGGGGGGATTAAATGAGCAGCGCCTGACACAGAGGATGTTCTCAACGCCACCCCATGATACACACCAGCCAGTACACTCCAGTGATGTTACTTCCACCTCAGGAAGATGTGAATGGTCAGTGATTTTTTTTAGAGTTTGGAGTGGGATTGTATTGACACATGCATAGTCTCTCTCTCTCAGACCTTTACCTGTAACCATTTTTTTCATCACCTCAGATGTAATGAACATCTGTAAAAAAGAAAACGTCATAGATTCATGGCACCTTAGAGAACATTGAATCCATTTATGAAAACAAATGTTACTTGTGTTTCTGGGATTTCTCCCTGAGTACCTTGTTAGTCAGGTGCTGTGAGTAATTAAATCACTCCCAGGGTATAAACTGTACTGCTCTGGGGGTTGGGAGAAGCATTAACTATTCAGAACCAAAGAAGGAGATTCTTTCAGTCATAAAAGATCTTGCTGACACACACACACACACACCCTATATAAGTACATATAAATCCACATATAAATGTTGTGATTATAGTATTTTATATGCTAAAGACAGTCTGTTTATATTTTCACATATTTTCAGTTCATTCTTTTGACAAGTTGTTAATAATACTAAGAGTTATCATTTATTGAAGTTTATTATATGCCAGACATTATTTTAAGGTACTGACAGACACTATCTCATTTAATCTGCTTGAAAACTCAGTTCCAGTATTATGTGCTCAGAGAGGCCTTCCCTGGCTGCTCTGAAGTAGCCACCGTCAGCTGCTCTATGGTAGCCTTTGTCACTACTTGGAATTTGGCTTTATTTGCTTTATGGGTTTTTGGTGACTGTCTCCACACTGTCCTTGCCTATCCTAATTAGAATTTGTGTTGCAGACAGCCAGCACTTTTCTGTGTTGCATACCATTGTATCACAGTTACTAGAACTGTGCCTGGCACATGTTGGTAATCAGTAAATAGTATTGAAAGACAGAATGAATGAAAAACTTAATACAGGTGAGAACTCTGAAGCCCAGAGAGGCTAAAAGGTTAAGGTCCCAGAGTGAGTGCATAACAGTGCTCTTATTTGAACCCCCATCTCTTATCCACTACACCCTGCTGTCCTTTATATTATGTGGGCTTTAGAAAGATGACACGTCTTACCCATAAGGAAATCACTGTCTGGTAAGGGAGGAATAACATTCACTTCCAATCAACAAATATTTGCTAACCCTTGCTAGGAAATGTATTAAGCACTAGGGACACAGAAGCAAACGACACAATACAGCCCAGTCCTGCATGGAGCTTTTGGTTGAGACTCGGGTAGGGAGGACCGATATGACAAGTAGTAACAAGTGAGACAGGTACTTTGAAAAGGAATGCACAGGGATAGAAAAGAATAGCAAGGGAACCTGACCAAGTCAAGGGGATTAGAAGAGGCTTCTCTGTGGGAGGGAGCATAGCCTGTTCAAGAAACCGAGAAAAGGACAACGTGAAGGTCATGTAGAGGTGGGGGTAAGCATGGCAGGACGTAAGTAGAGAATAGCCTTGAAAATGACATCTATAAATGATAATCACACATGGTGGAGAGTGATCTGTCCTAACAGTGCCATGGGAGTTGAGAGAATGGCAAGATTCCCACCACAGGGGAAGCTTCATGAAATCATTATAATGATACTTATACCTGGAGGGCTAAAAGAATATAGATACACTGAGACAGGAGCAGAGCATCCAAATACTTTCTTGTTCTTTTCTTGATTTTACTTTTTGAATGAATAATACATTCCTATGGTGTTATATATAGAATACATAAAACTGTAAAATATCTCACGTCTACTCTTATTTCTCACCTGTCCAATTCCCAAACCTCACACTACCATAGGCAATCTCTTTTTTTAATATATTTTTAAACATATAAAATTCAAGAATTACTTTATGCAGATACAAACAATTGTAAATAAAAATTCTTATCCCCCCTCCACTCTTTTACTGCACTATATAGCATACTATGTACAGGCGTACTTCATTTTTTTCCCCTTTGCTTTATTACACTTTTCAGATACTGTGTATTTTACAAATTGAAGGTTTGTAGCGACCCTGCAACAAGCAAGTCTATTGGTGCCATTTTTCCAAGAGCATTTGCTCACTTTGTGTCTCTGTGTTACATTTTTGTTATTATCACAATATTTCAAACTTTTCTATTATTATTATATTCGTTATGGTGATCTGTGCTCAGTGACCTTTGATGTTACTATTGTAATTGCTTTAGCTTTATTTTAGCAATAAAGTATTTTTAATTAAAGTATGTACACTGTATTTTTAGATATAATGCTATTGCACACTTAATAGATGACAGTATAGTGTAAAAATAACTTTTATATGCACTGGGGAACCAAAAAATTCATATGACTCACTTTATTGCAATATTTGCTTTATTGTGGTGGTCTGGAACTGAACCAGCAATATATATATATATATATATATATATATATATATATATATATATATATATATATCTACACTTTATTTTACAATATATTTTGGAACTCTTTCCATATCTGCATATAGAGAACTTCCTCATTTTTTTTTATAGCTGCACAGTGTTCAGATGGATGTACCATAATTTATTTAACTAGTCTTTTTTATTGATAACTTTTGGGGTGTTTTCAGTCTTTGGCTATTGGATGGTTTTGTAGATTTGGCAACTTATAACTGTACAAATACATTTATAATTTTTAAAGCTATTGCTGAATTGCCCTCAATAGGGGTTATTTTAAAATGCCTCCAGATTTAACTGCAAAACTAACCGTAAGCCAGAGAAGGAAATAAAATGATTTATTTTAAATGATGTCACTAATATACTTGTTCATGTTCAACAAAATACTGGATATAACTAAAAATTTTAAATGGAAAGTTGTGTCTTATGGGAGAAACCACATTCAAATGTTGACCACTGTCCTTAGCTACACGTCATTGAGAATAAGTCCACAGGCCTTCAATGATGTATGTGATATTCCTTGTACTCACATTCTATCTCCCCAGATGGATTCATTCTATTTATGTGACATCTTTCATCTTAGAAACTCCAAGCCCATTATAAGTACTGCTTGTTAATATTAACAATATGATCGTGATATGGAGAAAACCATCACATTATAGAGACAATTCCTTGGGAAGAGTTCAAAGGTTCCCATCAATTTCATCTAGCCTGATCATATGCGTAAAAGTTCCAGCTGGCAAGTGGTTACCATTGGGAAATGACTTTCTTATATTAAGTTTGCAAGAGATAAGCTGAAGAATTGCATTTAGTGATCTGAAGTTAATGATCTATCTCTGTAACAAGCAGCAGCTTGTTTGCCTGGTCCCAGTGCCATTATGCTATCCTTAGTCAGTGCCATTATGCTATCTCTGGGGAGAGAAGACAGCCGATGAGGAGACAAATATTCCTTGGAATAGCACTAGAAGAGAAAACATAAACAGTGCAGAAGGGAAAGAAGAGAGGGATCCAGAACCGGGGTTAAGAGACAACAGAATTCACTAGCCTAATGTCAGTTAAAAACAAAGTGAAAGGGCTTCTCTGGTGGCGCAGTGGTTGGGAGTCCGCTTACAGATGCAGGTGAAACAGGTTCGTGCCCCGGTCCGGGAAGATCCCACATGCCACGGAGTGGCTGGGCCCGTGAGCCATGGCCGCTGAGCCTGCGCGTCCGGAGCCTGTGCTCCGCAACGGGAGAGGCCACAACAGTGAGAGGCCCGCGTACCGCAAAAAAAAAAAAAAAAAGTGAAAATCAAGTCCAAAAGGACACAGAGCAAGAACAGAACAGAAATTTAGAAATATGGGGCACCTGCCAAAAAAGATTAAGGTTTTAGTGAAACTGACCACATTTAATAAAGAAAGACTAGTATCTGACATTTAAAATATAGTTATTATCCAATTAAGAGATTTGGTAAGAGTTCATATCCAGGCACCTGCACCCCAAAGGTTAGAGGCTCTATGACTAAGTTTAAGTAATGTTGACTTTAGTCAAATGTGCCTCATAAACAAGGTTTATATTCATTGCCAGTGTTCAAATGTACATGGCTGAGTTTGCAGGTCCATGGTGAATAGGTTTGGTGACTGCTTGCTAGGAAGCATCTAGGACTACTCGTTGTTTTTTGGTTTTTTTTTTACTTTGTTTAAGGATGACTCATCAAAAGAGAAGATCACAGGTGCCTGCATAAAAGGTAATAAACTTACAACTACAAACTCTGATGTGTAAAAAATATCACCTTTTACCTCTTATTGATATTGTTTTAAAAATGTGTTTATTTTTTCTTAATTGGTTTCTTTAAAATTCATCCTAATTCTCTGGGTGGTGGAAAATTGAATCTCTGTCATTATTGGGGTTTCATCTCCCCAGGACTCAAGGATGCTTATGTAATGCTCAGAAATTTGGGTGTGGTTTTGGCTAACCCAACAGATGTTTCCAAACTCCTTCTGCTTGGGCCACCTTCCTGATGCTAGGGGTGGACAACTAGTCAAGTGATAGTACTGACCAATGTGAGGTAAGGGGACTTCTGCTGGGGCATAGGATATATTTGTCTTTCCTGATAAAATGGATGCAACATCCTAGGGCTCCCTCTTCCTCTCTTTCTCCTGAGTTAATATGGATGTGATATCTGGAATTGTAGCAGCCATCTTGTAACCATGAAGAATAGGCCAGGAGAATTGCAGATTTGGTGGTCCCAACGTCACTGAACCACTGAACCAATTCCAGGATCCACTTTCTTCCAGAACTTCTTGTTGTGAGAGAAAAAAGAAACACCCACCTTGTTTAAGCCACTGTATTGTGAGTTTTTCATTATTTGCAGCTTAAAGTATTGCTAACTGACTCAAAGAGGAAACATCTCTATTGTCCGGTCCATCATGGGTTGCTGCTGATATATTTATTGTCCAACAGTTCCTTGAAATTCAGTGACAAACTGCTCCTGAGCCTCTGAACATAGGAAATGACCCGGGCTGGGACCCTGGTGCCTGGGGCTCCAAAGCAATGAAAGCCCTCCTTCCTGAGGCCCTGACTGGGAGCCTGGAGCTGATAGTACTTTACAAACCTATAGACTGCTATCCCTGCCCTGGATGGACAAGTTAACCCCCTACTCCTCTTGCCACTGTCAAAGGCACTTCTCTTCCTCTTTCCTCATTTCAGGACATCTATTATACTCTCTTCTGTGAGTTGATGTGTTTACAAATAAAGGAGCTGCCTTTTCTCATGAAGCTCCTGCTTTCCATTCAGCTACAAAACACCTCTGAGACAAGGGAACAAAAACTGAGCTACCTATTTCAAATGCAGGACGGAAAACTAAAGAGAGAACCAACACAAGTTAATACTGTGATAAATCACCTTGCCACACCTACCAGTCTAGTAAGGTAGCCACCATGGCAAGAGACATGATGAGAATAATGACAGCTGATGAACTAGAACAACTTTTGAGCCCTGTGCCAACTTGCATGGATGAAATCACTTGGCTTGTTTCTCATGGGCACAGCAGGTTTTCCAATGCACAGATGACACAGGGACGCTGCTTCATCATAAGCAAGAGAGCTGCTGTCGTTTGGGTGTGTGGTCTGTGGTGGGAGGGGAAGAAGGAAAGGAGAGTGAGGACGCCTAGCTATTCATCCTGGACTTGGCCACTTCTAAGACCTGCCATTTTGACCTTCCCTGTTTATATTTAAGTCAGAGCTTTCATTGGAAGGGGTCTGCTTTTTCTTTCTGGATATTTTAGCTGAAAGTTTTGTTTATGGTTTTAAATTTGATTTTTTTGAAAAAGTAATCATTTGCATGATTAATTGAAGAATTGATTATAATAGGAAATGACTGGAAACAACTTAAATATCAACAGAAGTCTGTAAAACAAATTATAGTACAAACGTAGAATGGAATGTTATATAGCCGTAAAATTGAATGAGCAAGTGCTCTGTAATGGATATAAAAAAATCCTCTCTTCCACTCTTGTCTCTTATCCACTAATTTTCCATATCCTCCATAGGTACATTTTTATGACTCTTTTCAGAGTTTCTTTATATACAAGTAAATTAAAATGTAAGTTCTTATTTTTCCTTTTTTATATGAAAAGGAAGATTCTTGACCTACTGTTCTGCTTCTTGCTTATTTTACTTAATAATGGACCTGGGATCTCTTTCTAAATAGAAGTCTTTCATTTGTCCAAAGTCTTCTCTGACATCATGCAGTAGTGTTTTGTTTTAATTTTTTTTTTTTTTGCGGTACGCGGGCCTCTCACAGCTGTGGCCTCTCCCGTTGCAGAGCACAGGCTCCAGACGCGCAGGCTCAGCGGCCATGGCTCACGGTCCCAGCCGCTCCGCAGCATGTGGGATCCCCCCGGACCGGGGCACGAACCCGCGTCCCCTGCATCGGCAGGCGGACTCCCAACCACTACGCCACCAGGGAAACCCCTAACTTTTATTTTATATTGGAGGATGGTTGATTAACCATGCAGTAGTGTTTTAAAGTTTCCTTCATATAGGTCTTGCACATTTCTTGTTAGGTTTATTCCTAGGTATCATGTCTTTTGGGGATTGGTTTTGTATTCTCTTCCATTTTTCAACTGGTTTTTGTTTGTTTAATATATTAATTTTCATTCATTAACTCTTTTTTTTTTTTTTTTTTTTTTTGTGCTACGCAGGCCTCTCACCGCTGTGGCCTCTCCCATTGCAGAGCACAGGCTCCGAATGCGCAGGCTCAGCGGCCATGGCTTACGGACCCAGCCGCTCCGCAGCATGCGGGATCTTCCCGGACCAGGGCACGAACCCGTGTCCCCTGCATCGGCAGGCGGACTCTCAACCACTGCGCCACCAGGGAAGCCCTCATTCATTAACTCTTTACTCTTCTACTTTGATTTTTAAACATATTCACAATTCTGATTAAGCCAAATAAACTTTCCTTTTACAATGCAAAGCTCTATGTTCTGAGGTTTTTGGTGTCATGATTTCTATAAGTCACAGCATGCACAAGGCTTCATACAACAAGATAAACCTCTAATATTCAGAGAGTAATTATAATTCAGAGGCTTAGTATAAGGGTACTGCTAGACTGCGGTTCAATCAAAATCACAAATAACTTTACAGAAACTCTGTCACCCACATAGCACAACACAGCAAGTGAATATCTTCACAGATGTTTGATTTGCTAGTTGAACTACAATCTATGTTTCTTTGGTGCTTGTAATCCGCTGTACCTTACATTTTGGGGAACACAAAGGGAAAGATTTTCATGTATTTAGTTTGGGTGCCAGCTCAGCACCTATAAGCCCATCTATCAGTAAGTTCTTTCTGCCTGACCACCTGCCATCATACGAACATACAATTTTAATGCAGTATAATTACAATAAATGTTTTCTATTCCTATATTTCGTGTAGGCAGTCATAATTGGCCAGAAGGGACAAATATTGTCAGACCTATTACACAATCTTTAATGCAATGAAACTATAAGTAGATAGCTTTTAAATGGGACAATCTTATATAGTTATTTTCCGAAAAACTTGGACTCAAAAGGTCATTCAATCAAAACCCAAATATCTGTGGCCACATATCATTCCCTTTCAATAAATAGCCCTACATTTTCATAATAGTCTACAATAACTGCCCCCAAATTACAGCAAAAATATTTTTTCAAAGTTAGCTTTTCATTACTCAGGGGAAAATTATAAAGTCTGTGGCTCTTCCTAGGCCACATTTCCCCCTCAATGTCTATAATTTAGTTATTTCAGGTCTCACTGGCAACTTCATCAGAGCCCATCAGGGCAAATCACAAGATTTGGAGGGCTGGTTAAAGAATTACACAGTGTTAGAGCTCATGGAATTCAGCCTCATCTCACAGATAAAGAAACCAAGGAAAGAAATGGTTAAGTGACTTGCCCAACATCATGCAATGACTTTCTGAGGGAGCCACGACTGGGAGCCAAGGTTCCTGCTCACCAGTACTGCACTCTTTCTACCACATCATGGTGCACATTCCTAGGCATGAATGAAAAAACACACTCCAACAATTGTTATTGACAAAGATGTGGTAACCATTAATGACACTTCAGGCATACACATAATATTTTTTTAGAACATCTTTTTCCTATTGGGCAATCTCATTCCCATAGTTGTCATGACTACCTGTGTGATCAATGACTTAAATTAGTATCACCAGCCCTGACCTCTTCCTTGTATACCATTGCCTGTCCTGTAGGTCTACCTGTGTAATTCACAGACAACTTGAACACATTCTTGCCAAAACTGAGCTTATTTTTTATATCCACCAAATCTGTTATTTCTCTATTTGCTATTTTGTTTCTTGCCTTGATAATAACCCATGTGTCTAAGTCCTCACCACTCTTTTTCCTTCACATCCAATTTATTATCAATTTCTGTTGATGTTATGTAGAAATCTGTCACATATTTTCTCATTTCTTCACCTGTATTTGCACAGGTCTTTATAACTTTTCACCTGGACTCTCTGCCTTTGTCTCTTTCCTCTCCAAGCTCTTCTCCACAGTGCCTCCAAAGTCATTTTTCCAAAGGGTAAATACTCTCTTGCTCTGCTCTTACCGGAAACTCTGACCATCTGCCTCATGTCCATTAAATAAAGCCCATAGAGCATGATTATTTAAGCTACTTCATATGAGCTGTCCCCTGTTTGCCTAACTTCTATTCCAACATTGCTTTTCAATGTTAGGTTCCATAAACAGCAAAATACTTGCAATTCTTTGAACTCATTAAACTATTTTATATCTCCACGCCCCTGCGAATGCCACTCCCTCTGTCTGAAATCCTATCGTCTGCTCACCTTTCTCACCTCTGAGCATGCTGTCCACTGCTGTTCTCATATGCTTCCTTTAGGACCCAACCCTGAGGGTGAGTCAGCCCTTCAGTGAAGCCAATAGGCAGTTTATTCTTTGATGGTTATGCTGTGCCTTGTAATGTACTTCTATTACTATATATCACATCATATTATAATTCCTTATTTATGTGGGATTTATCTTGCCTTAAGACATAGCAGTGCCTGAATGAATAGTAGAATGGGTAAATGGGCACAGGTAATAGTAATCTAGAGAAACATTTTGTGGTCAGCTGTAACATATATATATATATATATATATATATATATATATATATATATATATATTAGAACTTCTGAAAATTTGGTCACTGCTGCTCGGATTAGACTCGTTGCCCGAGTCATAGAATTGAAATGTTTTGAATTTATAGAATTTTAATAACTATAATTTAGAATGATTATGATTCATATCTGCCTTACCCTTTCATTGAAACATGAATTTGTTTCCTCACTATGAAATCATCGCACATAATTATCTCCAGATGACAAGTACTCATTTCAGTATAACATGCAGATATGGAAAAGACATTTTCTCTCTCTCTTTCAGGAGGGTGTTTACCAGAGTGTTTCATGTAGTTTTAGCAGCTTCGTGAGCATTTGCATCTCTACCAATCTTTAGTCAAATAAATTTTATCACACACTTATTAAGATGCTCTGGACTTCTGGGCTTTAAGAACATGTATGAATAAGGATGTTATACATGTACACATAGACCAGATATGCGGGGTTAAATATGGTGGTTACTAAGTTAAATGGGGACATTTAGCTATTTGCAACACTAGCCTGAGAAGTGGCTGATGTTTCATTTCAGAAGTTCTCATACATTCCTACCAAAGTAGACACCACAGAGATGAATGCTTTTGTACTTCTGGGGGATCTAGATGCTCATTTCCTACAAAAGTAAAATTTATTTGAATTTGCTAAATGTACTTGGATTTTGCGTTTTACTCCATTATAGATGATCTTAAATAACTTAACTTTTAATAAGACCTCTACATAACTCTAGAAAGCTGTGCAATGAATAAGCTATAGCTTCTAGCACTTCCCTTTGCTTTGCCACATATGCCATGGATTATGAGCTGCCGAGTGTGATAAGCAAGGGGGTAAATAAGGGAGAGAGCACTGAGCCCCGTCGCAAAGACTTGGATCCGAGCCTCGGTATGCCACTTACCAGCTTTCGCTCTTAAACAAATCCCCTATCTTTTCAGAGTTTGTTTCCTCCCCTTAATGAGAATCATAACATCTGCCTTACCGCCTCAGAGGATTATTTTAAAAATCGAATGAAAATTGCTCAGAGATCTCAGGCTTGGAAAAGGGGCGGGAACGTAGGGAGTTCAGGCAACCGGAACCACAGCCAAGCATCATTATACTGAACCCCTGTAGCTAAGACGCTGCTGCCGCCACCAGCAGCCGCTGGATGCCTTAACGTTGGCCATTATCACTGCTGCCCTGATCACTGTTGTCGCCTCTTCAACCAGCACTACCAGGGTGAATTATTGTCGAAGCCCTACCTCCAGCTTCTAGGAAGGCTAGAAATGCATGCCTCCGGCTTTTCTTGTCTTTTATGGCGGGAGACTGGCCTATGATCCAAATCGTAGGCCAATAGAATGGACACTCCCTCAGATACCTGAGGAGATTAAGATGCTGTGTCCACAACATCTTTTTCTTGACTATTGTCATGGTCCCGAACTGGTATCACTGCCTCCAGGCTTGTTCCCCTCCAACCCACTGTTCCTGCTCGCACCAGAGCTGTTTTTTCAAAGGGGAATCTGATTTCTGCTGCTGCTCTGTTTAAAGCCTTCCATCATCCCCTCCCCACAATGCCTATATAAATACAAATTAGAATACCGTACAGACACTTCTTTTTTTTTAATGGATGAAGGAATTTTATTTCATTTTTAACTTTATTTTGTGGTTTTCTTAATATTTATTTTATTTATTTATTTACGTTGGCTGCGCTGGGTCTTCGTTGCAGCACGCGGGATCTTTCAGTGTGCCATGAGGACTCATAGTTGCAGCATGCCAACTCTTAGTTGCAGCACGTGGGATCTAGTTCCCTGATCAGGGATTGAACCCCGGGCCCCTGCATTGGGAGCGTGGATTCTTACCCACCGGACCACCAGGGAAGTCCCCCGTACAGACACTTCTAATCAGGTCCCCACCTGCCCCCATAACCATACTCTTCTGGGCTTCCCATCCTTCATTGGGCCCTCTGCCCGCTGCAATACTAGTTTTCTCAGTGGGTGATGTTGTTTACTGCCTCTTTGCCTTCCCTTTCATAAAAAGGGAACTATGAAGGAATTTAAAAAACAAAAGACTAGCACACCAACATCTTGCCTCAAAAAAGGCCAGCGGGCTTCCCTGGTGGCACAATGGTTGGGAGTCCGCCTGCTGATGCGGGGGACGCGGGTTCGTGCCCCGGTCCGGGAAGATCCCACATGCTGCGGAGTGGCTGGGCCCGTGAGCCATGGCCGCTGAGCCTGTGCATCTGGAGCCTGTGCTCTGCAACGGGAGAGGCCAGAGCGGTGAGAGGCCCGCATACCGCAAAAAAAAAAATAAATAAAAGGCCAGCATTGTGGGATCTTCCAGATAGGGAGGGGATGAAGGCAAGGCCCTTCCTAGGTTCAGGCTGAAGCTTGCAAATGGTAGGAAGAGAACCCTGCTGGGAGAATGCTATAGATGGAGGCACGGCCAGCCTGTGGTCAGTGGAGATGACCACTGAGCCTGCCCAGAGCATAGCACACAGGGCAGGGACCAATGCTGAAGAGCAGTAAGTAGTAAGTAGACACAAATTCACACCTCAACCCCATTTTTTTCTGGATAACATACTCCTGGGATGTTTGTTTTGACCCATGGATTTCTTTCTTTTTTTTTTTTTAATTTTTATTGGAGTATAGTTGCTTTACAATGTTGTGTTAGTTTCTGCTGTATAGCGAAGTGAGACCCATGAATTTCTGAAAGTCACTTAAATGAGTACTATGGAATATTTTGCCTGATTACCAAGGTGATCTCAGACCAAATTATACTTAATTAATTTTTTAATTGAAGTATACAATGTTGTGTTAGTTTCAGGTGTACAGCAAAGTGATTCAGCTGCATACACACACACACACACACACACACACACACACACACACACACACACACACACACACATATATATATATATACACTTTTTCAGATTCTTTTCCATTATAGGTCATTACAAAATATTTAATATAGTTCCCTGTGCTATAGAGTAGGTCCTTGTTGTTTATCTATTTTATATATTGTAGTGTGTAAATGTTAACTCCAGCCTCCTAATTTATCCCTCCCCTTCCCTTTCCCCTTTGATAACGATATGTTTGTTTTCTAAGTCTGTGCGTCTATTTCTATTTTGTAAATAAGTTCATTTGTGCCATATTTTAGATTCCAAATATAAGTGATATCATACGGTATTTGTCTTTGTCTGACCGACTTCACTTAGTATGATAATCCCTAGGTCCATTCATGCTGCTGCAAATAGCATTATTTCATTCTTTTTTATGGCTGAGTAATATTCTATTGTATATGTGTACCACATTTTCTTTATCCCTTCATCTGTCAATGGACATTTAGGTTGTTTCTATGTCTTGGCTATTGTGAACAGTGCTGCTATGAACATTGGGGTGCATGTATCTTTTCGAAGTAGAGTTTTCTCCAGATATACGCCCAGGAGTGGGATTCCTGGATCATATGATAATTATATTTTTAGTTTTTTAAGGAACTACTTAATTTAGAAGAGTAGTGGACTGGGAGCCAATCATACCCATGACAATGCATGCTCATGTTGTTTCTCCACTTCTAGAAAAAAGCTCCCTTTTTTTGTCTACCAGGAGACTGCTACTCAGCTTTCCGGAGCCAGCTGACTATACAGATAAAGAAAGTTGTGAAAGGATTCAGAGTAAATTGTTAAGATTAGCTTCCTCTGGGCAAGGAGAATAGGGTGGGTGGGAAGGGGAATTTTCACTTTACGTTCTTCTGTAGTACTTGAATTTTTCAAAACACTAGTGTGTTATTTTAATAATTAGATTTTTAAAAGTCAACTCAATAGTTAGTGAGATAGTGGTGACTCCTTCTTTGCTGTTTTGTTTTTGGCATTTCTTTAAAAAATGGCCTAAAGCGTCTTGTAAGGAGAGCACAAAAGCCACCTGGGAAATGCCTTAAGTGTTTTCAAAAAACTGTTATTATGTTAAACATTATTCAGAGCTGTTCCCTCAGAATATTGCTCAACAATGAATGTTGGACATTATTAACTAAAACATATGCATCAACACATCATAGGCTAGAATAAATAAGTAAATAAAGATTGTGTTGCATATCCTTTGTGTATGCAAACAATGCTGCTAGTGACCATTTTGGGGCCACTAACCTTCACATATTTTTCCAGCTGTGGCCCCTTCAATGCCTCCGCAATGACAGGACAACATCCAGGCTTCCTAACAGGTGCCCCAGGTTGTCCTGTTATTCTTCTATCCTGCACACGCTGGATTTATACCACACTCTTCTTTTCAAATGTGCGTCAGCTGTTTTCTCATTCAATTTTCATTACAATCCTTGAGAAATAAAGACAGTTATTGCCTCTTTGCTGATGAGGAAAGCTCTTGCAGTTTTTTTTTTTAAATTTTTATTGGAGTATAGTTGATTTACAATGTTGTGTTAGATTCAGGGATATAGCAAAGTGAATCAGTTATACATATACATATATTCACTCTTTTTTTTAGATTCTTTTCCCATACAGGCCATTACAGAGTATTGAGTAGAATTCCCTGTTCTATACAGTAGGTCCTTATTAGTTATCTATTTTATATATAGTAGTGTGTATATGTCAATCCCAATCTCCCTATTTATCCCTCCCCTGCCTTTTCCCCTGGTAACCATAAGTTTGTTTTCTACATCTGTGAGTCTATTTCTGTTTTGTAAATAAGTTCATTTGTACCCTTTTTTTAGATTTCACATATAAGCGATGTCATATGATATTTGTCTTTCTTTGCCTGACTTACTTTACTCAGTATGACAATCTTTAGGTCTCTTGCATTGCTATACACTAACAACAAAAGATTAGAAAGAGAAATTAAGGAAACAATCCCACTGACTATCATGACAAAAAGGATAAAATACCTAGGAATAAAGCTACCTAAGGAGGTAAAATACCTGTACTCAGAAAACTATAAAATACTGATGAAAAAAATCAAAAATGGCAGATTTTGATGGAGCTAGGATGAGGCTCCTGGGCTCCAAACTATGAATGAATTTTTCTCTATTTCCACCAAGCTGTCTCATCTGCACTGCCAAAACTCAATCCACGCATGCCATTTTAAGTATTATTCTAACAACACTGTAGACTTTCAACTCATTCTCCTCTAGTGCTATTTCTCAGTACCCTATTCTTTTCTTCCATAAAATGAAAAATTGAATATAGATATTCAAATGGAATGTGTGTAATGTTTATTTCCCCAGCCAGGGTATAAGCTCTGTGAGGGCAAAGGGGCAAGGACCGTGTGCACCCCCCCCATACACGTTTAGCACCTGGCATATAGGAGGCACGCGATAGACATTTGTTGAATGAATGAACGATGGAACATCAGCTACTGTCTTAGGTGGGACTCTCTCAGTTGCAGGTCCCTCATTTAAACTGGCTTGAACAGAGAAGGAATTTGTTGAGTATCTAGGAAGTTCAGGAATCAGCTGGCTTCAATCATAGCTCCATTGAGGTTAGATTAAATTTCTTCTCTTCTTTCTTTCTTCGTCTCTTCCTCCCCTCCCCTATCTTGCTGTTCTCCTCTCCTTCCCCTCCTCTCCTGGCTCCTGTGTCTCTGTCATCCTCTCCCTCTGCAGCTGGGCCCCCTCCATCTCCTCTGTGCATGGTGAAGTTGGCAGCTGGTAGCTCTGGGACCTCTGGCCTAATTTGACATCCGGGGAGAAAGAAAACATGTCAACCTCAGCATCATTTCTCAATTTCAGGAAATGAAAATTTTAGGACTGGCCAGATCTGTGTCACTTGTGGGAGTGGGATACAGTCACTACTGGCAGCCCCTCTAAAATCACGTGGAAGGGGGAGTGGTGTTTTCCCAGAGCAAGGGATGCTGGGCAGATGGAAACATATGTCCTTCATACAGTGTCACAAGAATTTTATCAAGTAGTAAAGGAGAGGCTGCTTTTACTATCAAGAGACTTTCTGCCTCTCAAACCTAAACTCTGTGCATGGAGCTAAATTATGACGTTTTGAATTATTTGACTCAGATCATAATTTTTTAAAAGATGGATTAAACTTTATGCTTTGAGTCCCCAGGTGTTAATAAGTCAAGGAGAATAATAAAGACAAGCCCACCTACAACCTTCATATCTATCTGTTCAGCAAAACAGAGGGCTGTAAAACAACTTTTTCTGTTTGTTTTTTATTTTGGCTTCCAGCCAAATAAGAACTCAAGAAATTTGTTTGTAGATAAATTGTGTTTCAGTGTCTGAGAGGAAACGTGCTGCTTGGTAACGACCACAGGATGCAGATCCTCATTTCATAAAGAAAAATGTGCAGGCAACATGCTCATTTTTCTCTGCATATAGAAAAACACAGAACGCTCATCTGGCACATGACCGCTCAAGCACTGAGAGTACTGATATTTGTGTAGTCTTGATTCTTACAGGGAGAAGGAGGTTTTAGTTTTGAGCATTTGTTGCTTTGCCCAGGGCCCTGTGTTCAAAAGTTGTCTTCTGGGAAAGAAGTAATGATCAGAATTTAAGAAAAACAAACAAACAAACCTTTCCTTACCAGTTTCTACCATTTAGTACTTTGCTTTTGTGCCCTTTCCATATTGGCATGGAGCGCCTGAGTGTGCAACGGTTTTATAAATGCATGAGAATGAGTGTGACAAGTCCCTATTCAGATGTCCAGTAATGTAGGATCAGAGACTTAAAAGCTGTTTATAATACAGGAAGTATTAAACTAGTTCTTTTTGTATCACAGCTTTTTAATTTTATAAACTGGGTCTTAAGGAGTGAAGTTTTCAGCTTTTTAAAGTTATAAATATATGATTAATAAGAAAAACACTGAAGGAAATGAAAACAACCTCACATCCTGTACTTCCTGACATCCTCTTTTTGATTTTGTGAAGTTTCCTGTCATTAATTTTCAGCGTATTTATTTTCAAGGAAGTTCCTTTAGCAAGAAGATTGAGACCAGCACCCTGTCCCTCCCGACACACACACACACACACACACACACACACACATGCACCTCGGAGAGTTAGAAATGTGTATGGCAGTATTCTTCCACAATTCAAGCATAAAGGCCATGACATACATCCTTAGTTATACACATGGGTGATTGGGGAGCAGTGGAGAGAACCCCCAACACTAAAGAGAAAGCAAGAAGTATCATATTCTAGATTTCTGCATTTCTTATAGTAAAGGAGCTATGAGATAAAAATTTTATGATTATCATTAGTTATTATTGTTAATAATATCATTTCTTAAGCTACCATTTACTGAGCTTTTGCTAGGTATCATTACAGTGATAAGTGCTTCACACACACACACACACACACACTCACACACACAGACACACACACACACACACACACACCTGCATACTACAAATTTACCACGTGCCCGTGATTCTAAATATCAGAGTTTATGCTGTGGATTAAAGCCGTGTTTTTGGTGGTCATGATCTGCTAGAGAATCATGAAATTAATTTAATGGGTAGAGATAAGAACAATCATAACATCCTTGTGAAGGGATTATATTATCCCCAATTTACAGATGAGAAATTCCAGACCTTAGGAGGTTAAGTAACTCACCCAAGTTCACAGAGTTAGTAAGAAATAAATATGCATTTGGAGCCTTTCAGTCTCCAAAACCTTGTCTTAACTATTAAGGCTACATTACATCGTTTAACAATTCTGGATGTATCACATTATAAATATAACTATATACGGAAGAAAACCTATTTCCTAATATATTCTATAAGGGAGAGCTTAAGGCTTGTGGATAATTAACCAGCATGCATTGTTTTGAATATAAGCTTAAAAATCAAATGTGTGTGTGTATTAATTAGAGTTGTGGGAAAAAATTCATAGAACTCAGTACCATATCAAAATTCATGAGTGATTTGTTAAGCAAAGAGAGTTTTTTACTTTTAAAAATTCATAATCACATTTTATGTTTACATAGCACTTTATAAACAAGGCTTTCCTGGATATCATGAGATCCTCAAGCATTCTATGGACTCTATATGTGCGGCCTTTGTACGTACAGGCTGTTAAGAGTGGTTACAGCTGATAACGACTAGTTATCAACAGGAAAGCCAACATAGTTTGGACACAATCCAACAGTATAAAAATGGTGCTTACAGATAATCTTCCTTTATCAAATTCCCAGCTCTTAAAGAAGTAGCAATGCCAACAAATTAATGAACAAACAGATGTATTTAATAGGCCCTAAGAAGTTACACATAAAAATGCAATCAGTAAGTTGACGCTGGAACACCAACAGCTTTTGAAGAAAACATCTCTACCTTTTGGAAATAACTATGATGGTATTTGTTAAATACATTTGTCATTTCAGAAAGAGCTCCCCAAATTACTAGGATCACATCAGTTGTCAGCGTTTGCATACCGTCTTACTCACTTTTTGCTTTTTTAGGAAAAAAAATATTACAGACGCTCACATAAACAGAATCCTTTCCAATTTGTGTTGGCTGCCATTTTATTCAAGTTTGAGTAAGACCTTAACTACCCTCAAAGACTTCCTTGCGAGATTGTCATATTGCCCATCAATTTCTGCTGTGGGTTAAGGCAGTGTTTTTGGTAGTTACAACCCACCCATGAAATCAATTTACTGAGTAGAGACAAGCAACTTTTAAAAATGAAACAAGAGAATAGAAAATGTCAGAATGCATCACAGGTAGTTAAGGTAAGTAAGGAGCAGTGGAGGAAATTACTGGGAGGTGAGGGGTGTTGATAGCCAAAGTACAAGGAGGAAAAGGAGCAAAACTCCACCTGCTCCAGAGTTATACCTAGTGGTAGTTCTACTCTTTGATCCTGGACTAATGAGATTAATACATACCTATGTGTACCACTAGTGGGAAGAAGGGCAAAAGGGAGAAAAATAGAGAGAAGAGTGGGATAATGTGAGTCAAAACAAAAGTTGGGGTTCATATGTGAACAAGAGAGAGGGAAAGAAGAAGAGAGAGCAAAAAACTAAGAGATGCATAGGATGAAGTTTGGCAGATAGATCACTCTGTGTTCAAAGGATGCCTTCAGCTGCAGTAACATAAGCTTGACTTGAATGGCTTAAACAGCAAAGAAGTATATTGATTGGTCTACTGGCTCAGTGACGTCATAAGGACCATCCACAGCTTTGACCTCAATTTTGTTCCTCTTGTGGATGTAGGATGACTATCCTACTGGGCCTATGTGCTTTCTTATTTCCATCCAAGGAGGAAAAGGATGGATTCCTATGGTTCACTGAATAGCAAGGGATAACTTCTCAGAATCTTCCAGCGCCTGTAGGTGTAAACTTCTGCTTACACCTTATTGGCCAGAATTGAATTACATGTCCACTCCTGATTGGTTGACTGACAGAGGGTTGGCATTACTCAGACCAATCAGACTTCTCTCTGGAGCTGGGATCAATCTCTTCCAGACACACGGCTGGATGAGAGGAAAGCAAAATTGAGGTTCTTTTGGGAAGAAGGGAAAGACATTCTGCTGAGTAGGCAATCAACAAAGTTCACTACATACGAGAACTTTTTAAAAACTTTGGTAACCTATCCTAATAGTTCTAGTAGATTTAATATTTAACATTTCTATCATTAAATCAGTTTCGTCTTTAGAGACCGATTACATCATTTTCCTTCACATAGAAGAATGCCGTTAAGAGGCATTTAAATAAAAGGAAAGAAATCAAGTACAGAGTGCTTCTATTTTCCATATATTTGACAACAAACAGAAATCTCAAATGTTACTCAAAAATAATATGCTGTATTCACTTCCAAAAAGACAATGCACAATGTTTGACTTCTCTTGGAACAAACGTCAGGAGAGAGAACCACTAGCCATTGTGCAGAGCTTACTTCTCTCTCCGATTCCCTCCCCCACTCAGAAGTTAGACTTCAGCATTATCCTCCTGTGCACTTGCCAACTTTCTGCATCATGACACAAAGACATTGCTGGTTAGGATCATTCTAGCCTAAAGAAAGGCAAGCACAAAGCTAGCCAGGCTTAGATGAAATGCACACTGTTTGCTGAATGGCTGTGGTGTTTTGAGGGCTCCCTTCATGAAAGACTAGCATAAAGTCAACAGCCCACAGTTGCTCAAATCTGGGCTTTGGTTTCATTGCCACCACCCGCCACTTCCCCACCCAGGAGAATTACAGCTAAGCGGTGTTTTAACTATGTCCCCAGGGGAGTGTTGAGTAAGAAGTAATGCATGCTGGGTTACCAATAAATCATTTCTGGAAAAAAGGACATTTCAGGAAAATTAAACAAAGTGTAGAAAAGCCTTAGCTTGCAATCTGTTGCTGCAGAGTTTGAAGGATGACTTTCCTCCCTGCTTAGACAAACACCAAGCAGGAAGCGAAGCGCTGAACAGGAAAAAAGAAGTTCTGTCCCGAGCCATAGAAGAGAATGGCTAATGATGACTGTCATTGTGATTTCATTGCCCATTTAAACAAAACGAAGGCAGCTAGCTCTTTAACTCTTTCCAATTGAACTTCTGATTATTTTCAGAAGTTCTGCAGTGGAGACCTGACAACTCAAGAAATCCAACCAGCCTGGAACATGGGTTTTCAAAGTTACTTCAAAGCTCAGCTAAATACCCAAATAGTTTAACCAGCTTCCCCTTGTGCCCTGGCTACAATGTGCAGGTAAATTTCTCTCCCTGGGATATCTACTTGCGGTAGGGTTCATGGGCACTCAATGTGCCTATCTCATTCACCCGGATTTGTAAATACCTTGTGACGTTTGAAAACCAGCCATTCTTCTGTGCACTTTGTGACTTTCCATTAGGCGAACTTTGCTAGTATCCTCCTGCCTTACTTTTCCTCTGCTGCACAACTCCAATGCTTAGTTGTCTATTAAATGCCACTGTAGCACCATCCCACAATGTCAGTCCAGATTTATTAGCTGAGCTCGCTGTCGGCTGGCTCCGTAGCAACCAGCTGTAAATATTACAGGACTTTCCCCATGAGTCCATACTAAACAAAAGCACATGATCTCTTCTTTCTATTTTAATATTGGTCTACCTCAAGAGGAGCTGGGCAGAAGGTAGAAAATATTTTTCAGCTGGGAACAGAAATAACCAGGTCAAACGTTAGCCCTTATTTCTCTAGATGCCCTACTGATTGCCATCTCACTCTAATGAATGATTCATGCCATTCACTTTGAATCCATCATTTATGTTATCTGAATTTCTATTCTGTGCTTCCTAAAATTGACATTGCTAGGATGAATAAATTCTTATTATAGGTGGGTATTCAGTGAGCCAGTTAACATATTTGACTAAATAATTTCTTTTATAAGATGGTTTCAAAATAATATTTTAAAATTTCAAAAGCTCCTTGGGACATTAACTAGCATTTTGAAGAAAGCCTATGGCACTGATTTTCATTCTCTTCTGGGAGTCCTTCCAGCTCTAAAATGCTATGAATTTATGAATATATGCTACTGTATTCTCAGTAAGAGATTCTGGATTATTATTTTTCATGAAGGTTGAAGAAATTACGTAGAAATTGACTAGGCAATGCAAATCAATGCATAAAACAGTAGAACAGCATGATTCTATCATTATGTAATAATGCACAAAATAGGTACTCCACAACTATTTCTTGAGTCTTGTCAACTTTACATTTTTCAATTACCAGTTTAGTAATTATACAAACTATATGTAGTGGTATTTTCAAATTGATGGCTCATTTTATGGAAATATATTTTATGGCTTATATAATAACTGTAACATGTTTAGAATGGAATTTATTTCCTTCGTGCTTTGGTCAGATGAGATCTGTCGTTCTTATCATCCTACACAGGGTCTCCTTATTTAATTATGTATGTGTATGGCTTTAGAGTGGATTACTAGAGTGCTAGTTTTCCTTCCGTTATACAGAATTCCGATCTTAGAAGCGTGAAAACCATAAAATTCCTCTTCAGGAGTATTCAAAACCAGACAAACAGAAAAGAAAAATAACTTTGCCCCATTTGACCTTAACTATGATAGTTGGGTTCAATGTCTTCTCTGCTGAGGTCCAGGCCCTTGAATATTTGTATCTAGGACAGGTGATGCACTTTGTTCCACAGGAGACAAAAGGGCACCCTTACCCCTCTTGACTTTACAGGCATTGCCTCATATCCTTCTTAATAACCTTGCCAACTTACCCCCTCAATTCTCTAACCACCTTCTAAAGCTTGTCACCTGGTTCACATTTCAGACTCCTGGCTTCCAGTAACCTTCTGGGTCCTTCCAGGTGCATTCAGCCTGGTGTCTCCCTGGACACCCATCATCATCATCACCATCTTCATCACGATAATATCTCACACTGATGACCATGTGCCAGCTAAGCCATATGCTTTACGTGGATTATCTCGTTTAAATCTTAAGACAACCCTATGAGACAAGTACTGTTATTCTGTGCTCAGGTTATTAAGAAAGCACATAGCAAATAAGTAGTAAAGGCAGGACTTGAATCTAGGCAGTGTCTTAACTGCTCTTCTCCACCTCCTCCCAACTCTTGCCCAAATGGGGAATTGAATACGAGCCACTTGGGTAAGAGCCAGACTTCCTAACCATATGGCGAGGTTGCCAATCTGCAGGAGGATATAGGTCCAGCTGCACAGAATGATTCTGCCTTCCAACGGTCTTCTCTTAATTCTTAGTAGCAAGAGGCTTTATTCATTTCTTTTGTGTTCAAAATTAGCCTTTTACTTTTTATCCACACAATATGCCACGGATAGCCCAGATTGCATTCATTATGAGCTATCATGTCCCTTGTCACTTGTTTACAAGGGCTTTGGCTTGGCCTTAGCTTTTAGGTGAAGTCATCTTAGAAAAACTCAAGAGCCACAGAACTAGGGTTTAAAAAAATGACAAACATCGCAAGCATTCATTTTATACTCCCACAACCTTTATTTTCCAATATTTGTTAGTTGAAAACAAGAACAGTTAGACTTCTTAGAAAATAGCAGATCTGTAGAAATACTCACAACTACCTATAAACACGGGCCAAATATACTCACTCCTACATCCTTACTCTACACAAACCAGATAATAGTAAAAAGACTTGGAAAGTGCTTTTTATCTGTAGTTACACTATAAAAACATAATTATAGAAATGGAAGAAAGATGTGAATGGCAAATACTTGCTTACTTTTTTTTTTAGCATATAAATCAAAAACATAAAAAGACTAAAGTAGGGATTCACATAAGAACTTCATGGTGACTTTTAACGGGTGGCATTTTTCAGTAAACATCTCAGTCAGTCTGAACAGTGATATTACAGAGCAAGAGAAGGTCCCTCTGAGGAACTATCTTGCCCCCTGGAGAAAATCAAGGCAAGAGAAGACTTCTACTCAGGATTGTCAGGGTGCAGGGCAAAAATATTGTTCGGTAAGAGAATGGCCCTCTCATTTGATGAGAATAATAAGAAACACAACACCAGCCTTAGGTTGGGAGGAAATGAAATATCTAGCTCCTGAAATGCCGCTGTGAGTTCTGAGTGACAGAAACAGGAAGGAAGAGTGAGCAATACCTCCGTCTGTGTTGCATTTGGCCTGTTAGGAAACCACACGATGGGGCACGTGATAAACTCCATCTCTGTTCTCGCCTCAACCTTCTCCTCTTGGAATCTGAAACAACATTGGATTTTGATCAAATGAGCAGGGTGGCTGATAATGAATGATGATTACCCACCCGAACACAAGGTTCTGGATGGCGGGGGTCTGGTCTGTTTTGTAAGTAGCTGTGCTATGAGCACCTGGAACATAGTTGGTGCTCAGTGAATATTTGTTGAATGAATAAATGTACATCTCAGACCTCAATCATTTGACAGCAGCCTGAGAAATATTTTGGGCTTTTTTGCTCTTCACCTAAGTAGTGATGACCAAAAATAAAATTAAAAAAAAAAAAAAAAAGAAAAGAAGCAGAAGAAGTCATTGGTCATCTGCCATGGCAGCTGAGTTATTCTGTCATATTCAGTTTGAATTTGTGTCTTCCTTGCAGAAAAGATGCCGGAATATTACAAAGGAGTAATTGTGTGTTTTTGTATAAGTGCGTGCACTCATGTATGTGTATGTGATCATTCATAGTGATGAAGGTATATCAAATCATAGAAATATAGCCATATCTATCTATGGTTGAGTTTAGTTAACTCTTCATCAACCCTCCCGAACTGAAAGTCTTTCCTAATTCTCCTGATTTAGCAGTAATTACTTATATAAGAAGCGAAGTTGAGTCATGAACAAAACAGTCCGTCCCTACTAATAATGCCACTGAGTGATAATAAGAGGAAGGTAATCTGGGAAGGTCACTCCTCCACTCCAGAGGTCTCATGACATCTAAATTGGGAGTTGGCGGCCATATAAACAAATTCAAATTACCTTCCAGCAAAAACCTCAAACTACTTGTTTGAGATGGTTTCGGCGAGAAGACGTGAATCCAGATCAAACTCTAAAGCCCCAGAAGTACTGAAATAGCTGAAACAGAGATGTAGTTATTACAGGAAGCTTAGGAAGGTTCAAAGGAGGTTAAAAAAAGAAAAAGAAAGAAGAGGAAAAGCTACAGCAAGAGAAGCTGGTGGCATTGCCCATCCCTAGTGGAAATGTTGCTGATGTCCTCTGAAGAGGAAGGGGAAGGAGTTAGAGGTGCAAAACAACCTAGACGGGGGGGCAAAACAGGAAACAGGAGTGCTGATGAAAATGAACTGTGAATCGGGAAGGGAGCAAAGCCTCAAAGTCACAGGGCTGTTAAAGACACCGGAAGAGGACAAAAGAAAAGTAGTTAGGGACTGTGAGGGAACTATGGATTAAATAACACATTGACAAACAGATAATGAAGTCTCAAGTTTCCTACTGAAACGACCTGGAAACAGACTTAATCCTGTTATAGTCATTCCAGGGGTGTCCCATTGTGCTAGATTTCCATGGGATCAGGTATTGCTGGAACTAAATGGACCTTCAAATTAGGGGAATTCTTTTGTTGTTGATACATAAAGATATCTCATAATAGTATCACTTAATAGTAATAGGTAATATTTAGGACATTGACCATGCTGACCTAAATAAAGAGGTAAACTGAGGCAAGGTCAAAAAAAAAGAGTTTATTCAGGAGTAGTCAGAGGAATTGCAATTCAAGACAAGCAAACTGTAGCAAGCTATAGGCGAGTCTGTTGAGGGTCTGGCGTAGGTTGTATTTATGGGCAGGGCATGTAAAGAGGGGAGAGTTCAGTTATAGTCAGTCAGAATCAAAAACAAACAGAAACCAGACTTGAAAACTTCTCGAGCAGACACCGTCAGTCCAGTCACACATACAAAGCTCAGGTCAGCCCAGTCTGTTAGATCAACCTGACCTGGGTCACCTTCTATTCATACCTGTAGCAGAATTTCCCGAGATTGGTAACAGACAACCTCTGATCAACCAAACACCCACCCCACCCCCACCATCTGAGAAAATTCTGACACTATCCGTTTTCTGTAAGTCAGGCATTTGTGGGAAATCGGTCTCTTAGTCCCTAAATTTTGTCTTCCTGAGGGCAAATGCGTGAGATTCTTCATTTTATATCCTTCCTTTCTATTTTAGATTGAAATTCTTTCACACCCACTATATGGGTAATATAATTTACTTCTCCCAAATCTTAGACAGTATGTACTATTACCACCCAAAGTTTTTAGACGAAGTCTCTGAGGTTGCATGATTTGTTAAGGGTCAAGTGGCCAGTACAGAATAATTTTCAAGGCATGAATTTCCCACTCTGGACTCCAGAGCCTATGTTCTAGCTACCATTCCATTTTGCCTCCCAAGTTATAGTGCCATTTGATCAATATATGATTTTCTACTGAATATAACAGAGCTGGCTTTGGTGCATTTCCATTTATATTTGCTCTGTTTATCAGAATTGCTGTTACTTTCCTTTGCCAACCTTTAGAGGGAGAGACAATGAACAGTAAAATGCCCAGAATTAAGGAACAACCCAAGGAAGAAAAAAAAGGAGTCTAGAGACAGTAAGATCTAGAGTGGTAGAACACTGTAGCCAGCTAGGATATTACAGATTATAGAGTTCTGTTCCCTCATTAGTGTGAGTAACTTTCTGACCCCTCAATTAAAAGTCTTGCTAAAACCATCTTAGTAAGTGACAAAAATTCTTTGACCAAATAGAGGATGATAAGTAGTTATTTTTCTTACATGTATTTAATAGTATTGCAATACTTTGGTGGGGGGATTACTATGTTAATAATCTAATATAATTATTATTGTTATTCATAAAATAACAACAGTTTGGTGTGGTTAAGTGATTTGTCCAAGGTCATATAATATATTAGATTTTTCAAATTTCTCCAAACCTTATTTCATCCAGGAATTATACTATTGCCAGCAAGGCCCAAATGGCCTTGAAATTAAGCTTATGTCATATAGTGATAGTTGTTTTGAAAGAAATAAAAACTTTGCTTCGAAATTCAGAGCTTATGTTTCTCATCTGGCTGCCATCCCAGGACTGTGACCCTCAGAGAGCACTTCCCCAAACAACAGGGACAGTCTGGGACGCTCCACTGCTCTTTCATAACCCGGTTGGTTTGCCATGCTCCTTGGGTTAGGAAATGAGCTCCTCAGGCACTGTTGCTCAGAGTTCTTTAAGGTCTTAAGGCAAATTTTAAATAAACAGAAAGTCCCACAGATACACATATGGGTAAGCTCAACACAACACACTAAGGGGATTTTACTCAGAGCACAATCATGTTGCCAGGAATTTGAGGACAGATGTAGAAAGATGCACACGCTATGGCCATGGTAGAAAGACACTCTTCTGGGTTGAAAAACATTCAGAGATGCCTTGTTTTATGCTGGTGTTCATGTCAATATCCTTTTTAATACAGTTGGTCCTCCGTATTCATGGTTCTGCATCTGCGGATTCAACCATCCAGAGGTGGAAACTATTTGGAAAAAAAAAAATTCCAGAGAGTAAAATTCCAAAAAGCAAAAGTTGAATTTGCTGCATGCTGGCAACGATTTACTTAGCATTTACATTGTATTAGGTATTATAAGTAATCAAAAGATGATTTAAAGTGTATGGCAGGATGTACATAGGTTATAGGCAACCATGCCGTTTTATATGAGGGGCTTGAGCATCCAAGAATTTTGGTATCTGCAGGGGTCCTGAAACCCATCCCCCATGAACACTGCAGATGCTTCTGGGCTAAGGCTGTTGACAGAAAGGGAGCTGGCAGCTTAGTTCCACGCAGGATGTGTTTCTAAACTAGACATCTAAGATTTTCTTTGACTTGGATTAATGGGGCTCAAATATAATCATGTGATGAAACACCTGAAAATCATGTTGCTTTTTTAGAATAAAATGAAACACAAATAATTAAGTTAAAAAATGCATACTATTTTTATCAAGTCAGTTCTATTGTGTACTATTATAAAAATGGTAATATTATTAAAACCAAAGGAATATGGAACATTTATGGAGGAAAATGTTAAACTGAGGAAATTCTACCCATTGACTTATCTTTTTTTATTAATATTTTGTGTGGAAGAGACTGCTAGTTGCCTACCCTCACATCCAATTTCCCCTTCCTCTTTAACAGAACCACAAGTTTTAGCTGGGCACAGGGTGTCTTTGTGGAAAACTACATTTCCCAGCATCTCTTGTGGCTAAGCGTCGCCACGTGACTATTTTCTGTCAAGGAGAGGAAAGCATCATTACTAGCTGGGAAGTCCAGAAAGGCTGCTCAGCTGGGAGGGGTCGTTTCTGCTTTTCCTTCTTCTTTTGGCCTGCAATGCAGATGTGATAACTGGAACTTTAACAGCCCTGAGACAGCCTTAATAATAAAAGTCATGCTAGGATAATGGAGAAAAAAGATACAACATTCTGCAATGGCCAGAGTTGGATTGTCTTCCTCCAGACTTCTTATATCTGAGAAAAAAATCCTCCCAAATTCTGGCTGCTTTAGGCACTGGCAGTGTGCTTTATTTTATTTTATTTTAACGTGAAGCAAAACTCAATCCTAACCTATGTATTAGCAATAAAAAATCCCTACCCACAAGTCTAATATTGAATTGTAGAGGTTGAACACCTAAAACTACTGGTAGTCAGTATAACACAAGAGTATAGTTTGAACCACAGGTTTGGTTATTATTGTGTGTTTTCTTAGCAAAACTATAAAGATAATTATTTAAGCTAACTTCTATTTTTAGTTTTGGAAGTCTTGCTTTTGCAAAAAAAATAAGAAAAGAAAAATGGCACTAGATTTTATTAGTTTCTAGAGTCACTCTCTCTCTCTCTCGCTCTCTCTCACTAATATCCAACAATGGTATAAGTTTTACCTTCCTCAAAGTACCTATCTTCCTACACATCTATATAATGTTTTCAGTTCATAAAGTATACCCACATAATTATCTCACATGATTCTCATAGTAAATCCATGCAGTAAGCAAGACAAACATAATTATTTCCATTTTTACCAATGTAGCAACTGGATTTTCCTCTTCATTACATCATTTTGAGGTAGATGAGACTATTATTATTATCCTTAATACACATAAAGCAGAATCATGAAATGCTCACATCATCTGACCCAATCCTTTGAAAACAAGTTGGCATCTAATAAATACCTGTTGGATGTCTGGATGTGCGACTGGATGAGTGAGGGAATGAGGAAAATGAGGCCAAGGTCAGTTAAAGGAGGGATGTGTCACAACACTGGAATTAAAATTAGGATTTCCTCACCTCTATTCTAATTTTTTTCCCATTATACTATGTTGCCTCTCCCTAGAAATTCATCTTCCAATTTGCTGAGTCACTCCTTTGGGTGGACTGACAGTGAAAAGCAGTGTTCAGGTGGTCATCAATGGTGAACTTCAGCTGATGCCCCAAAACAACGTAGCCCATACCACAAAACAGTTTGCTTTCACTGGCAGCTCTCCCAATCTTCACATTTTAATGCTGGGCCAACAGCTACTGTCCTTGACAAGTGACAGCGCTGGCAACATAGGATTCCCTTAAACAAGGTCCATCACATGGATAGCCACCATGGAGTTCCATCTCTAGCTTTTCTTGACACCCTTACACAGCTGGTCTCTTTGTTTCACTTGGGAAAATGTTCCAGGAGGCTTTGTGTCGTAGTGGTGGCTGTGATTTAACTTGAAGCTTTAAAGGTTGGAACGGGAAACACAAGAGCCACAAGGACTTGATCTTTGAGAACATTTGCTTTCTTCTGAAAGAGGTGAGAAATGAATAAGAGCCAGAAAGACCTGAGACCATCACCCTGATTCACTCCAAGGTATGTGTCTAAGGTGAATGTACATTGTTTTGCAAATAACCAAGATAGAAATATTAAATGATTTCTCCTAAGTCATCTAATTAGTCAACATAGGAGCAATAGATTCTAAGTCCTATCCTGGGGAGCTAGTTAGAAGAAATTCTCAGCTTTCCACTTACTACCTGTGTGGCTTTGAAGAAATTATTCTCTCTGAACCTCAGTTTTAATATAGTTATAATTGGAATGCTGTTCCTCGACTCTCAGTTGTTGAAGGTCTGAATGAGATATTATAAGGTGCATAACAATTTAGAAGCCACTCAGTTCCATGTTATTTTCAGTCCTTCCCCTTTGATACTGGTTCCATTTTTAGAAACCGTTGCCACATTCTGTGACCAAGTAGAAATGCTGAAAACCCCCAAATAATCTCTTTTCAAAACCTGCTGATTTGCTTTAGTGTATAGAAGTTTAAAAAATTCCATAATGTGTAAAATTTACAAAAATATCTAAGAATAACTAGAAGACACGAGGCCTGGTTCACTTGACCTGGTTCTTTTGTGTACTTTTGGCCCTGATTCTGTAACAGGAATCAGAATATTGAGTGGAGACATTTTGGTGCCTATCACTTTCTCGTGATCGAGACTCAGAAATCCTTACCTATACTTTTTCATAGTTTGCCTTTACTTTATTCAGCAAGTATTTTTAAAGCTCCAGCTATGTGCCAGGCACTAACTGAAGTGCTAAGGATATAGTGGTGAAAAAAACAGATGTTAGTGAGGGGAGACAGACCATAAACCAAATAAGTATGGTCTTTTGGTGAGTGATAAGCATGATGGAGAGAAATAAGGTAGAAAAGGAGATATGGAGCATTGGAACAGGAGTTTTATAATTCAAATTTAATGATTAGGAAATGTCGCATAAGAAGATAGACCAAAAAAGAAAAGAAAAAGAAGATAGACCAGTAAAGACTTGAAGGAGGTAAGGAGTGAGCCATGCAGAAATCTGGGAGGAGTATAAAAGGCATGGGAAGTATTTAGACCCTGAAGAAGGAAAGTGCCTGCCTTGTTCCTAGAATAGCAAAAAGGCCAGTGTGGCTACAGCACAGATAACAAAGAGAAAAGAGTGAAACATACAGTGAAATGGGTACGGAGGCAGGGAAGGGGGAAGATTGTGTCTGGCCACTATAAGGACTTTGTCTTTTTTTTTTCTTTTTTCTGCGGTACGCGGGTCTCTCACTGTTGTGGCCTCTCCCTTTGCAGGGCACAGGCTCCGGACGCGCAGGCTCAGCGGCCATGGCTCACGGGCTTAGCTGCTCCGCGGCATGTGGGATCTTCCCGGACCGGGGCACGAACCCGTCTCCCCTGCATCGGCAGGTGGGCTCTCAACCACTGCGCCACCAGGGAAGCCCAGGACTTTGTCTTTTACTCTAAGTGAAATGGAAGGCTTTGGTGGATTTGAGCACAGGGGTCACGTGATCTGATTTATGTTTTAATAGGACCATTCTGACTGTTGTATTGAGAAATAGGCCGAAAAGCAGTGAGACCAGTAAGGAGATTATTGCAATAATTCAGTGAGAAATGATGCAAATATTTGCTGATGGATTGGATGTGGGATGTGAGAGAGAGGCGTGAAAAAGAACTCTAAGGTTTTGGGTACTGAGAAAGAAAAAGGTGGTGTTGCCACTAACATATGTGCAGAAGACTACAGGAAGAAGAGGTTTGGGAAAGATCAATAGTTTGGTATTAGACATAGTATTAAGTTTGAGATGATTATTAAACATCTGAATAGAGATGCCAGGTAGGCAGTTGGATTGAGGAGAAATTTGGGCTGGAGAGATAAGTTTGGGTGTTGACAACCTATACATGACATTTACAGAAGAGAATACATATATATTGGGTTGGCTAAAAGTTCGTTTGGTTTTAAGTAAAAATAAAAGACACATTTTTCATTTTCACAAAGAACTTTACTGAACAACATGTTCACTAACCAAAGTTTTTGGTCAACCCAATATGTGTGGGTAGATGCAGGCAGGTGGGTAAAACAGGGAGATAGAGCATTTAGTCTCATGGCCCAGAGAACCCGCTCCTTCAGATTATTTGGACGTAGGATGCCTGGGAAGAACAGGGAACCTTTGAGTTCAACAGTTTTCAAATCCTTCAAGTGAAAAAAGATGATCAGCTATGGGAAAGCACTGGCTAGATTGGGGTCTGGGGCAGGGCGTGAGGAAACTCAAGGGACTATAGGTGAAATGTACAAAATAAGGTTACTGAGTGTGGCCGTGGACTCCCTGACCCACCCACGGTGATTCAAAGAGATTTGTTTCATGTTCAAACAAATGTTTTTTTGTAATACACTACATTGCTCATACAACATGGTTTATCTGTTTATAACTTTAGAAAACTTCGAGAGTACTCTTTGATTCAATAATTCTACTTCTTGACATGGATCCTCAGGAAATATATTTAATTGTAGTAAAATATTTATATGTACAGATATTCATCACAGTATTACTTCAAAAAAACAAAAACAACCCCCCCACACAAAAAATAAACAGAAAAACAACTGGAAACAGTCTAAGTGCCCCAATAAGGGGACTGTTTAAATAAATTGTCATTTACTTATAGGATGAAATATTATACAGCCATTAAAATCAATGTTTACAATGCTTCATAACAGGGGAAATGACTAGAGTGCAATGTTAGATAAAACTTAACTTAAAACTAGGTATAGGGCTTCCCTGGTGGCACAGTGGTTGAGAGTCCGCCTGCCGATGCAGCGGACATGGGTTTGTGCCCCGGTCCGGGAGGATCCCACATGCCGTGGAGCGGCTGGGCCCGTGAGCCATGGCCACTGGGCCTGCGCGTCCAGAGCCGGGAGAGGCCACAGCAGTGAGAGGCCCGCGTGCCGCAAAAAAAAAAAAAAAAAAACTATGTATATATAATATGATCACAATTTTATACATTCATGTGGGCAGAGAACACTGAATGAAAATAAATATACCCAACATATGTCAGTGGTGGACTCGTGTTTTTTCCTGTGTTTTAGATTTCTGTTTTTCCATATTTTCCATCAGGAGTAGCTATTATTTTATAATCATATTTTAAATTTTTGATTGAGAATTCTAAGCAAAGATTAAATTAAGAAATTCCTGAGTTGCCCTCGGTCTTCCTTGAGTTGCTCTGACTGCTGATTCCTCTGTTCATTTCAGTTATAGACAGTGTGAGGTCACCCCAGCATTTGTTCCTAGAACAAGTGGTCAGATATGAGTGATTGGACAAAAGGCCCCAGGGTGTTGAATAAGAGCTGAGCTGGTGGAAAACTTGTGACACGGGTGTGATGGATCCAGGAGTGCTCTCCTTGGAGCTCTGGAGTGTTTCATCAGCCTGGGATTCCACCCATCTGAGCTGGCAATGGGCCCTGTTGTTTCTAGGACACCTAGAATTCATCATTTGTGCCTGGCTCATTTTATTCACTTATACGTTTGAATTCTTTGTAGTTGAGTCATTTCCTGTTTAAATCTCTTCAACTTTTCCTCTTTGACCCAGAACTGACTGCACAATATCTCTGTTCTGCAGTGCATGAAAGATTCTTCACAAAAGTAAGTCATTTGTGGGATGTTAGGCTGTCATGGGAAAAAAAGGCAAAGTAATGGAGAGTTTCAGTTAGCCCATCAGATTTGGGAGTGACCAGTAGTAATCACAGGTGGTGTACCTACCCGAATTGGATTAGTGCACAGCGTTTTCTGTGTTGGTAAATCCATCCAGGTTTTCCCCCAGGGAGCTGGCTTTAATATCCTTCTGCCTCTTTAAGATTGGGAAACCACCCAGGCCTCCCAGGTCTTGGCAAGAGACAGATTGACTTCATGTTGTTGTTACTCAGCATTTTGTTTCTTACTGAAATGCCAGGCTCTGCACGACCGGTTTGTGAAGTCTGAAGATCCTCTGGGCGTGCCCAGAAACTTAGCAGCCCAGGAAGAGAAAACTGAAAGGGACACAGTGGAAACAGGAGAGAGGTTCTACAGCTGGGAGCAGCTTGAATCAAGCCCATGTCAACAGCCCATGTCTTCTCTCTTCTCTTGCAATCCTATCGACTCTTACAGGAGCAAATCCAGTGCTACCTTCCCAGCCTAATTTAATCTGTTCCTTTGTGTTTCTTAGAACATTTTTGTTTATTTTGTCTTACTTACAAGTCTTTTTTGCATCATACTTATTTAAGTATGTCTTATGTACGTATATTTCCCTATTAGATTGTTAGTGTCCTGGACAATTACAGTGGCTCAGTAGAGTGTGCCTCTCTCTTCCTTAGCACAGTGCCTTGCACTTTACCAAATTAAAAAAATGCTTGAATTGAATGGAATGAAATCCCCATCTAAGAAATGATTTGACTTAAAACAGATCTGAGAATGCTGACTCATACATATATCCTGCTTTGGTTGGGTGGATCTGAAATCTTGGGTGAACCTCAGTTACTCCTGGGTTTGTTATAGCTTCAGCAAAGGCAATAGCCAGGGTTCATTGACCTTTGTGTCTGTCTTTAAATGATAATGGAATCACATTCATTTTAATAGTTTATATACTAACATTGTAAAGATACTGCAGAGACGACCATGGCCATATTTAATGAAGAAAGGCAAATTCTCGAAGTGTTCATTGTTTTAAAGGAAAATACATACCCAAGGCATAGGGGATTAATTAAACTTATATTGTAGGTAAAAAAGTGGAATGTGATGAATTAAAACGATAAGGGAGATCTATGTTTCTTAGCATGGAAGAGTTCAGAATGTCCCGCGCAGTTAAAAAAAAATGTCTAAAGTAGTACGTTTATTATGATCTCATTTTTTTGGTAAAAACAAAACAAAAGATAACTTTTATGTAAGATATGTGTACACACACTTGGAAAAAAGTTTGAAAAAATAATTTGGAAAATGAGTTCTATAGTTAAAGTGTTCATAACAAGAATTGGGTATAGCACAATTAGCTAATTATGAAGCATAATTTATATGAGCAACTCTTAATGGTAACTAGCACTGGTTGGGAATAGTTTGATGATTAGCATCATCGGAATAGAAGTAAATAAAAAGAAAAAAAGCTGCTGCTTCACCTGGCTGTTATAGACTGGGCTGCGAGCAGAGCTGCACAGCAGCAGTGATAGGGAATCAGAGGGTACTGAGTACAGGGAGTAAAGGGCAAGGAAGGAAGAGTCTGTTTGCTTTTGTACTTTTTGATTCACCTTTTTTTGGTTTTTTTTAAGCTGGCAATAACTAGATATACTTACGGTTATGAAAACACATTTATTATTGAAATGACTGTGGAAAAAACCCCTGTTCTACTGTGAGTCTGAAACTTCTCTGTTCCTATTAAAATATTTTTTAAATCTTGGTTTTAAATTTAAATTTGATTTATTTTTGATAGGAGATACATTAAAACAGGACAAACTCTAAAAGCTACATAATAGTATTTATACAATGAAAAATTTCTCTCCCACTTCTACTCCCCAGCCATCCCTCCCAGGTCCCTTATTACCTCTTTCTTTATATTTTTTGATAATCTGAGATGTCTTAGGACTGCCTCTATTTTGCCAAATTTGAATGATTATGTACTAAGATATTAACTGTAGTTATTTTCGAATGATAGGATTACAAGAAATACTGATCTCTTTATAGCTTTCTGTATAAATTTTTTTCCCATTAAGTAAAAGAGTTAATGATAATTTCCAAAACCCATTTTATTGGACTCTGTGATAGCATGCCTAAATTTGCATTGTCATCATTTTTTCATTACTCCATTTCTCTGCTTCAGGTCTTTAGTCTTAGCAATACAGCTAATGCACAGAAATTTCCTCTTAAGATACTTTTTCTTCCTTACTCTTCATTAATCAATACCTTGTGGGAAAAAAATACACATCTAAGTAAAATCTGAAGAAAAAAAATTTCTTACCGGAATTTCTGCTGTGGTTTCCGAGGATTAATTGATCCATATTAATTAAATAAAAATAAATATTAATGAATATGCTTCCTTCCCTTAAGATACTTAACAGCAACCAAAACAATAACAAATTCTTAGGGGACACTTAGTTTGCTGGGATGATTAGGAAAATATCATATTTATCTTTTAAATGAGATTTAAAAAATACTTGACAATGAGAGATAGGATAAGTGGTAAACGGCCGCATTTCAATCTTATAAATATGCAATCTGAGCTACTTTGACTATGCCTGGAGTCAAATGCTTTTCCAGGCCTGTTCCAGATGTGAGAATTTGGGCTATAGGACCGTTTATCCATAAATACAATGTATCTGCCTTGGAGCAGACCACCTCTGACCCAGGAAAATGTCAGCTCTAGTCTGGCTATCTTGCCACCTATACATTCAACCCCAGATTTTATTTATTGTATCTTTTCTTCTATATTCTCTCCTCCTTCCCTTGCTCTTATTCATCTTATTTTTCTTTTTTTGTAGGAGGCGAATGTAAACCTAGCTTGATAGAGATGAATGAGCATGATATTGCACCCAGGGAGCCAGGATCCTTGTCTAGTTCTGTCCTAAACTAGGTACCTTAGGCAAGTCACTTCAGTATTCTGGTCCTTCATTCAGCAAATATTTGCTGAGCTCCTACCATGCAGTAGAGACTTCTAGGCGCTAGGATGCAGAGACGGATGAGGTGCACTTTTGGACCATGCACCTGGCCCCTCTGTCTGTACGTCAGGAGGCTGGGTCTTAGGATAGCAGCTGAAGCGGTGAGTGGGCACAAGTCTGTGGCCCTCCCCACACAAGGCAATGTGCTGAGTGTGGGCACCGTGACAACAGAGGAGCCCAGGAGCAGGAAGCATGGAGTGTGGAAGCGAAAGAACGCTCTGTCGGATGGTGTCAGGGAGCCAAAGGTGGCAGCCGTGACTTGGCTCTGTGCCCTTGGACAGGGCAGGCTGCTGCCAGGGCTACCGTGGTTAGGAGGCAAAGCCACTGTGTGAATCTGCGGTGGAGCATCAGGTGGGGCTAGCTCGCCAACGTAGCACGATTTTTTATTACAAACAACCAACTGCCTAAGAATCGCAAGTATTCGGGCTCACCTTAAGCCTTGGGTTGGAGAGACAGTAAGTTTGGGATCCAAGGAGAATCCAGTGAATTTGAAGCAAATCATTTCATAAAATCAAACCCCTAGTTCTGTGGAGGGGTTCTTCTTTCTCTCCCCAGGACCTAGCATTCATTATACCCTGACACTGAACGCATAGATGAATGAAAACACTTTATGGAACCTAGATGTATATCCTAGGGAGCATCTCCTCGGTGGAAAATTGGGAGAGACTGGTGAGCAAGAGGTGAACATTTTATCTCATAAAATAATAATGACACAGAATGTTGCAATGGAGCGAGGAGCCTTAGCAACACTTTTTACTCACCGAGAGGACTGTGAGCCTGGATGGAGTCCAGCTTTGGAGGGGAGGAGGGGAGCTCTGTCCCAGCCCCCTCTCCAGGGCACTCTGAGGAAATGAGTCTCCTACAAGCATGAAAACAGAGGAAGGAGAGATTTAGCACAGCGTGGTGGCTGATGAAGGTGGGCACCAGGCGGGGGGCAGAAGGAGGGCAAGGTTTAAAGTCAGCGATTAGAAGGTAGAGCTTCACTTTCACATTTTTGCGACTTATTCGCAGCCAAGCCAAAGATTTTCCGAGACTCAGCTTCCTTCTTTGTAAATCAGGGATTTACTGCTGCCACCCCGCTGTTCTGAACTTCTTCCTGTTCAGAGAATGTATCGATACTTGCATTAGAGATTTACTTGGATAGATACATTCTTCTTTTAAAACACAAATACATGCTGGTAGAACCAAGTGTTTCAATCAAGAGAAACACAAAGTATCTTCTCACTCAAACTTGAAGGGGACGGGATGCTGCGTGCTCCTGGAGACAGGGAAGAGTGGTCTCTTATTTGGGTTGCGCTGGATTGACAGGTGTTGAGGGTAACGATTCAGGAAGAGACTGGTGGGCAGGTCTGATCGTATAAGTCTCTGGTGCAGATAATGACATGAGGAAACTGGTAAGGGCTTCCTTGAGCACCATTCGGAGAGAAAGCAGGTCACCCGCGGTGGTAGCAGTCCAGCCCTCAGCAGAGAACAGTCGGGGCTCCTCTTGGCAAAAGAAAAGCTGAGGGGAGAAAGACCCCAGGTCGGAAGAAAGACAGATGCACCTTTGGATCCTGGCTGTGCTCTGATCGGTGACCCTTGTTTGTTTCATCTGTAAAATAGTGATTATATTTAACTATACGTATTGTTGGGAGGATTAAAATGGAGGATATATGTCAGTTCCTGGCAAGAAGTAAACACTCAGTAAATTATAGACAGTATTATTTATGATGAAGACTTTTATAGGAAGGATAGGGAAATTCATGGCTGCAAGCGAAGTCGGGAAAGGACTCAAAGAGGAGTGGGCTGGGGTCTGAGTTAACAGATGAAATTTCTGACCGGAAAATGTGTTGCATCAACAAGTAACATGGCTTTTTAATAGGTCGTCTTAGAGGCTGGGGCATCTGACTGGCCCAAAAGGAGTCCAGCCTGGCTGGGCTGTGGGTAGGAAAGATAATACTGCAGGTACGCCAAGTAGTCTGATTTGTAGGGCTCCACTGTACCCTCGGGACAAAAGGGGGGGGTAGGAGAAGCCAGGTTTGCCAGGTCCTGATGACAGAGTCCGGACATGACTAACTGATATCGGAAACACAGTGTCAGAAAATTGATGCCCTACAAAATCAGAGAGGAGATCCGAAACATTCAAAATCATGGTGATGGAAATAAAAGGATGACCAACCATATAAAGATCAAAATATAACTGCCAGATGAGTGGACCAGACAATAGATACTGTGGAGTTTGGCCGAATTGACCAAAGTCCTAAGAGCACGTGCTCTGGGGTTGGAGTTCTTGAGGGTGCATCCTTGCTCTGTCGGTTACTAATGATTTGAGCTGGAGAAATTTGCACCTCAGCTTCCTCACCTGTAAAGTGTAGGATTTTTGTGGAGGGTGTAGGAGTATTGTGAAGTCTCTGGCACACTGTAAACTCTCAATAAATGTTAACTACAGTTATCCTGCTCTTCGCATGGGGGATTGGTTCCAGGACCCACGTGGGTTACCAAAATCTGTGGATGCTCAAGTCCTAAATTCTTGGTAGCTGGGAGTTTTTAGGGCCTGGCCTGGTGAAAAAGTGGGGCTAGAACTAGTCCTAGGATGAGTGTGGATGAGACTAGAGAGGGGAGACAATTTGAACCTAGGGACCCTGAGACTCCACGCGGCTGAGAGTTCCGATGGGTGTGGCAGGAGTCTCTGGAGGACTTGCTCTGAGGAGTGGCAGTGAAGTATGTGTAAGAGTGATGGAAAGCAATGATCAGGGAAAGAACACAACAGATGAGCCGAAGAGACAAGAAAGGACTCACCAGAATTTCCTATAGGATGAGTGATTGGAAGGAAAACAAAGAAACTGGAACAAAAGTATCTCAGCCATTGTGTGAAAGGAAACGAAGTAATT